TACAAGAGTAAGTATAAAATATTTTAACTAAATAAAGAAAAGTCTCTACTTAAAGGATGTATGACTATATAAGAAACATGCATATAACAGATTACGTATTAGGTGTTGGAATTAATTCGTAGCGTTTTACAAGTGATGGGAAGTACTTTCATTAATGTATTTTTTAATGCTCATGTGAAATAAATAACATTCTTTCATTAAAAACGCTACGAATTAATTCCAACACCTAATATATAATTTAGGAAACATTTAGAAATTCTACAAAAATATTTAAACAAACATTTCTGTGTTATTATAGCGTGTGCCATATTCAATTTTCATAGAAGTCAATGTAATCTTAACAATACACTACGATGCAGAAAGAAAGTATTTTCAGATTTCATGTTTATGTAAATTTATTCTTTTATCGTGTATCATTTTTAAATATTTTAGTCACACAGGTTCGACAATACTAATTTTGAAAATAATAAAAATTACAAAAATATAACATTTAAACATTAAACGATTTTTTTATATTTTCTATATACTTCCTATCTTCCTATCGTTTATGTGAACGTTATAAAGAGAAAGAACATCTATAAGAAAAACTTAGATACACAGATCAATGCTAAAAACTTTATGTATTATAGATTATAACAAATTTAACAAAATAATATTCTTGTAAAAATATTCATAGAAAATGTTCTAAATTTTATTTTGTTATATAATATTTAACAAGTTACATACTTTTTTAGTAACAAAATCAATATTTGTCGCAAAAAAATTAAATACTTATTTTTTTAAACCTGCAACTAAATAATAAAATATGATAACGACAAATTATATTGTATTATCATGTATAAGAATTTGGAAACCTATAACATAATACATTCATATGTTTTAATATGTGATTTCATTCTGAATTTTTGCAACGTGTTTTTCACTACACCACCATTGTTCTTTTTGGCAAGCATTCGGCACCATCGTCATTGCTATCAACGAACGCAACAGCAAATGAAGAGCCGCGAATGCCGACCGGTTTTACGTGTTCGTCTCCGCTCTAATTCAATTACGCCATCCGGTACAATCTCTCCGTCTACTCGGTGGCGTATTTATAGCCACGTGAATAATTTACATTTTTCCACCATTTGATTCTCTTTTCCCTTATTCGCCTTTGCGATAGGTGTCATCCACGTAATATCCGTGTGAAATCTGGTCATGATTCACGAATGATTCCACCAAATTGACCTCTACCTGCATCGTCGATTCGTTTTTACCCAATTTCATGTACATCGCATGTTATCAAAGCTATTCTTTTCTATCAGACACATTGTTAATTAGTCGCTCTTCAATATGATACCGATTTTCTGGAGCATTAAAACTTGTATTTTATGCTTAATTTATTTTTCAACTATTATGTCGAACCTGGAACGTAAACATAGATAATCGATATTATACGCAAAATGTTTCATTCAAACAAAATAATAAATAACGATAAAATTAAAACTAATAAGAGTCAGCGGGAATAGATGCATATAGATATTAATTTATGTAAAATACATCAATTTGATAGATGATATCCAGCTTTATTCCAAAATCTTGAACCTTTCCACTCTTTTTGGAGTTGATTATGTATAATTTGCTGATAATGATTTCAAAAAGAGTAGAAACGTTCAAAATTTCGGAATAAAGTTGCACACCATCTATCAAATTGAAGTATTTTACATAAATTAATACCTATGCGCACTTATTTCCGTGCTGACTCTCATTAGCCTTAATTTTATTGTTATTTATTATTTTAAAGTTCGAAAATCCGATTTAAATTATATTTTTTATTATTGTTGTTTCATACAAAGCAATATTTTTTGGTCAATGAACGGAGAAGAGAAATTTTACATGTAAAGCAGTTTTCAGTCTTTTTTATTTATACAAGGTGTTTGGAAATTAGTGACAAGTCTTTCGCATAGGGGCAAAATAGACTGAGAAGACTCTACCATTTTGCAATTTTCGCAATAGTTAACAAAATATTAATTGCTAAAAATTGCCGAAAATTGGTCTTTAATTTTTTACTTAAATACTCTCAACTTTACAGAAAAATTGTAAGAGACAAAAATTATTTTCTTTTCATAGAACTCTACGAATTTTTCCAAAATTTTTTATCAACTTTTTAGCACTGCATTTTCTCATTTTTACCAATATAAGAAAATATTACAAAATTCTGAAAAAATTCTTAGAGTAGTATTCTTCTATGAGAAGAAAATAAACAATTTTCTTCTCTTGCATTTTTTCTGTTAATAGTATTTGAGTAAAAAATTATTAAATACCAATTTTCAACAATTAATTTCTTGTTAAATTACGAAAATTGCAAAATGATAGAGGACTTTCTTCTCAGTTTAGTTCATTCTACCCTTGTGCGAAAGATTATCACTAATTTTCAAACATCCTGTATATTTCAAAAACTTATCAATTGATATAAAAAAAATGTATTATGTAAAAGTTAATTATTTCTATTTAAATAATATTTTTATAAATAATTTTTTCAAAAATTCATATTTTTCAAATTATTTTTAAAATCATCGACGAACATAAATAAAGATTTATTATTAAAACTTTCATATAAAATATTTTTTAATATCTTTAATAGTTTTTGAAACGTAAAAAAAACTGAAAATTGCTTTAGATATAAAGAGTAATCTCAGCCGCAATTAATGTTTTTTTGAATTTTTTTATTTATGAACCTATTCTATAACCTACATATATACAAAGTTAAATTAAAATTTAACATTTAGAGATTATGTTGTTAGATACGAATTTCTAATATTTTAATTTGAAAACATAGAAGCAATTTTTAATCAATATGTTTGAATTTCGCACTGAAATTATAAATTGAAAAAAGTTCTGAATTGTATAGTTAGTATTGCAAAAAGAAAAAGTAGTAGGTATCTTATAAAATTTCGTGTAGAAAACATTATCCGATCAAGGTTATCTCAAAATTTTTTTAATGAAATCATTAATTTCTTTTATATAAATTGATTTATACAGCCATTCTGCATAGAAAAGAATTTAGGTAAGATTGTCAAAAGATCAATAATTTACATATTTCATCAGGATGTTTACTGATATCTTGTAAGAAAATTTCCTGATAATTCTCGGATTTTTTTCTAAGTATTTTTTGTTCAAAATGCAAGATTAGAGAATTTTTTTAATGCAACTTTAAAATAAATTAGAGTGCAAATAACGCAAATAAACTACATATTAAAAATTGATAGAAGAGACAAGGATTCCACGAGACTATATATATCATTTTCTGCAATTGTAGAGCTGCGAAACTTATAGGATAGTGAAGGGGGGGGGGCTTACTACAAAATAGTGTCTGTGAACTACCTTATTCTGCCTAGTATCGTCTTCTATCGTTATTCTGATATTTTTAAAATATAAAAACTCACTCAACTCATAAAGCACATACAAGAATATACATGTATGTACATATGTCATACTTATCTCTTATATTAGTATACACCTTATTTTGAGTACCCTTATTGCACATGTTGGATTATTCGTGTCCTGGATTAATTTTCATTACTTTTACACGTATATATAAATCATTAAATGATTTTTACATATATTTTGACATCTTTAAAAAATATTTGTACAGCTATATATTCATAACAAATTACAGATAAATTGTTATAATTAAATATAGTTAACAAAATGAGAAAAATACATTGTTTCATATGAAAATGTAAAACTCTGAAACAAAAATATTTAAAGAAAAAATAGTTCAATATCTTAAAATTGATATTCTAAATCTAATCTTCTACAGGAAAAAAATAGTTCAAGTGTCAGCTGTTCAAAAAATTTAATTATTGAGTAACCTAAAAATGATGTTTAATATGAATGCCTAAATTGAAGGTATATTGCATTTATATTTTAAATAATGCATTTTATTATTGATATTGTTAAAAAAAACTTATAATTTATTAGGAAAATATTCTTTATAACATTATAGACAACACAATATATAATATTGACAACATTTAACGCAAGGTTGCAAAAAATCGTGTTTATTAAGGACTAATAAATCATTTTAAAATTAAATTCTTTTTTTTTTTTAATAATTCACAAAATATTCCCGCAATACAACCGAGAATTAGTTGAAAATAAAAAAAAATAAATTTTTAGTTACAAAAAATGTACACTCTGTACACACGTGGGGTCATTTGTGACCCAGAGATAAACTTCGGAATTATGCCAGTTAAAGGATACGTACGAAATGAGGCCGGCAACGCATAAAACTTGTTCTCTAGATGTCAAATGTTTTTTAAGAATCGAAAAGAGACCGATATTTGACTAGGTGCTCTTAGTACTTTGAAGAAAAGAAATGCGCAGGAATGACCCAAAGATGTGTATTAAAGATTACCGCCGATTGTTAAAATTTGCGATATCAAGAAAAATGATAAAAAAAGAAGTATTTTCAGAAACAGACAGAATTTAAATTTAAAAATAAAATTTCAAAAATTCCCCGATAAAATTCCATGAAAATCGTGAAAATTCCATGTTTTCCCAATAGTAAACAGCCTGTCCATACTTTATTTTGACAAACTCCTCATGACTTTAAAATATTCGTGATTTTCCAAAAGTGATTTTTAAAGTATTTAGCAACGTAATAAAATCGATTAATATAACTCTATTTATATATAACACAGATGTAACGTATTAGTAATATTATTATATAGAATTACTTTCTTTTAATGTTATAATATATTTTCTTTACATCAAGGTATTTGTTTCATTATTTCGTGTATAAAAATCTTATGGCAAAAGTAAACCTAAAAAAGAATAATCTTCAAATTATAAAACATTTTTGCATTTACATTTAAAAACATTTAACATACCACAAGGTTCTAGAATCTTAGACGATAGTGTAAAATAAATAAATATGTGAATATATTATGCATTATGAATATATTATGTGAATATATTATGTGTATGTATATACATATAGATGTATAACTATTTACCGTTTTACGCGCGTGTATGGGCATATGACTTCCGGTGGGCAATAAGAAGTTCGTCGCCAGGTCTGTTTCTCTCTCTCTCTCTCTCTCTCTCTTTCTCTTTCTCTCTCTATCTCTCTCTCCCCCTCCCTCGGAAAAGCTTTTACCGCAGCTATCTCTTTTCCCTTTCTTTCTCTATCTATTTATCAATCTCTATTTCCTTCGCTGTCACTCTCTCTTCGTGAGTCCCGATCCTGCGTGACGTCCAGCGTGTCGTTCCTCCGTCGCTCTCACGTGGCTTACGACATGCGTCACTGCCAGTTGGGCTAATACGATCCTCGATCTGCGCACGAGCCAATCACACAACCGCCCGTCGGCTCTCTTTTCAGCAACCTCGACATGTTTTATCGCTTCTTCAGCGATCAGTCCTATCCCGGATCACCCTATCTGTCTTTCCGAGAGATCGATGTGATCGCTTGATCTACTAACAGTTCAATCTATGCATCGAAAACTTAGATAAGCAAGTGTCACCTGTCCGCCAATGCAATATTAACGGAGGAGGAGAAAATAGTAGTCGTCTGTAGGATACTGAATATGGACCAGTCGATTCGTTGTCTCGTCCACAAATGGATATACCTACTCTCGCAGATCAAACACGTTTTACTCTCGATTGTATGCCTGTAGTCTTCTCTCCGTTCACTTTCGCTTGCGAGAGCAAACTCCTTCTATGAGAACATATTGATGATCGTCAAAGTGCTTCCACTTTTGATTAAATGCTCTACCGAACGCGAATGGATTTTCGGAGTAAATTTGTAAATTTCAAAAGATTTTGAAGAAACTTATTTAATTCTAAAATTATCTTTTGATCCTTGATTTTTGGAGTAATTTGCTGATTATCATTTCACAACCTTGGAATGCTCCAGAGATCACTATAAATGATCAGATTAAGTTTGAATTGAGTAGAATAGCTGCAGCTACTATGAAATTTTTTCAACGTCCCAGTTTTGCATTATGGAACACTGTCGAGATTTTGACTTGTCAAAATTGTAGACACTTTTTCTCTTTGCCTCTCTTTAGTTACCAAAATTGGTAAATATTTTTATTAACTTTCAACTTTTTAATCTTGATATGTTTAGTGCTGCTTATGGATCTCTCTCTCTCTCTCTCTCTCTCTCTCTCTCTCTCTCTCTGTCTCTCTCTCAACTCTTTATTATTCCCCCTCCCCACAGTTAGATTTTCAATTATTATTTCAATGTCCTGCAAGTTTTTAAATCTTTCAATTTTAAAATTTTTTAAGTATATTTTCGTGTTCAAGTGTCAGATTTTCAGATATTTATATCATCACGTTGTTACATCGACTTGTGTATGTACTCGAATTACATTTTACATAAATATTGTATGGATAAAACTTGTAATCTGTAATATCGGAATGTATTTAAACTCTCGATTTAAGTTTTTAGTTCGACAAAAATTTCACTTGTTTCTCACAATGATATTATATTGGCACAATCAACTTTTAAAAATGACAGCCGATTCCTCAAGAATTATCATCAATTTTTAGAAATCACGAACAACTTGTCGAGTGATATGTCAAAAATACGCTGCAATTGATTAGACGAAGATGCACGCATCGATCGTACTTGAACGTCTCGGGGCAGGAACACGACGAACCGAATTTCAAAGGACACGTTGCACTACGCGATGCACGATAAATTTCACGCCGCAAATCTACGAAAATTCGCGTTTGAAATTCCAACGTCGTCAAAATTCAAACGATCGACGCGATACGAGACGCACGACGCAGACGACGCTTCGCGAGGAGCGACCATATCGGTAGCGCGAGTCACGTAAAATCACGATATCACCTAACCTCACTCCGCGACAGCACCAAACGTACTGAACTGAGCTTACTGAACTATAAGATACAACGCAGTTCATGCGCCGGAGCTAGCCAACCTGCCCCCACCTCCCTCCCCCCCCCCTCTCTCTCTCTGCCGTACGATCCGTTCCGTAGGTGGTGATGAGGAACGGTGAGAGAAGAGAAGGGCGCCATACGATGACGTCATGTGATCATAAGAGAAATAGCGAGGATAGTTCGATATAGCAGCGCGCAATTTGCACTACTTTGCGCGAAGATGCATTCTACTTTATCGACGTGCGCCATACAAAACAAATATATCGGAGGAGCTGATCATGCGATAACAACTCTCAGAGAACGTGTCTGAAAGATATCCAAAAAACGTTTCGAACAGATCTTCAAGATTTTTTCAAAAGACATTTCTTAAATATTTTTGAAAGATAATATTCTTGAGGCTTCCACGGGTGCTTTCTATATAAAGATTATGCGTTTCGCGGGTTTCTTCCGTGTTCAGATTAGCATTCCAAGAATGGATCTAGATACGGAGGAAACCCACGAAACGCATAATCTTTATATTTTCGAAAGATATCAGAAAATTATTCAAGTTTTGGAACATGTGTAGAAATTTACATTATCGACTGCAAATTTTATTTACTATATAGGTATATTATAATATCGAGTGTATGACATATGGTCAATCTGTGATTATAATATATGACCTATAAAAATATTGAATATCAATTAATTTGGCATTCTAATATTTTGTATTTTATTGTACTGTTACTATACTGGATCTGGACACGGAAAAAACCCGCGAAACGCATAATCTTTATATTTTCGAAAGATATCAGAAAATTATTCAAATTTTGGAACATGTATAGTAATTTATATTATCGACTGCAAATTTTATTTATTATATAGATATATTATAATATCGAGTGCATGACATGTAATCAATCTGTAATTATAATACGTAATAAAAAAATATTAAATATCAATTAATGTGGCATTCTAATATTTTGTATTATATTATACCGTTTTACAACTACACAATTATGCGCGAAGCTGTCCGGAAACGCGTTGAAGAAGAATACGAAGTAGTGATGCCGATTCTTGGATCGATGCATCGAGAATCGATTTTTTTTTGCTCTTAAAAAAGCGATTTTTAATCGATTTTTTTATTTCTCGATTCTTTCAGAATCGATTCAATTTTTCAGAGAATCGTATCGACAATTCTCAATTTTCACAAATCGTTAATTTGTAAAAATTGAGGATGCTTTATACCCATGCAGCGCAATAATGTAACGCGGAACGAGAGCAGAATCAAGCGTCCCGCACTAACTGCAATTGCAGTAAGATGTAGCAGTAAGCAAATCGGTCAATCACAATAGAGTAATTTTACGTTTCTATTGTGATTAGCTAATGCGATTACTGCTACGTCTTACTGCCTTATGTTTTTGTAAGCCATGGGCTTTATATTAGAGAGCCTCACAGAGAGAGAGTGTTACAAATTGTATCACGTGATCCATCTGTTCTGATTGGACATGGGCATCAAAGCTCCATAGGCATGGAAGAAATTGGAGAAACTGGTCACGTGATGCCCTGATTGGACATGGGCATTTACGTAATACAATTTGCTACTCTCTTCCTACGAAGAGAGGAGAGAAAGAGAGGCTCTCTACTTTATGCTTAAGTCCATTAAAAATATATGTAAGTTGATGTTAATACGTAAGTATAGTGCAACGCATTCGCTGAGTCATAGTATCACGTAGTAGTAAATCGGTCCGATTTATTGAAAATAAGAAAATATAGTATTAAAAAGTCGATAAAAAATTCTGAAAAAATTCTTAGAACTCTATGAGAAGAAAATAAATGATTTTTGTCTTTTGCAGTTTTTCTATAAAGTTGATAGTATTTTAGTAAAAAAAAATTAATGTCGATAAGTCGGGCAGTTATTATAACCCAGCGAATTAATGCACTGCACCGTACACGACCAAATACAATGTAATAATAATTATAAGAAACCTCGTCTATATATTAGGAGTACAAATTAGTTCGGTTCATTTTTTTGTATTCAAAAATGCATTTATTTCAAAACAAAATGAATGAACAAATTAATTAAAGTATTGTCCATCGCTGGCTATTACTTTTTTTCATGTTTCAGGCAATTTTCGAATTCCATCTCGAAAAAATGACTCGTCTTTGGAGGCGATCCAATTTTGGAGCTAATTTTCGATTTCTGCGAAAGAAGTGAACCGATGACTTGCCAAATCGTGCTGCATCCTTCGGAACAAATAATCAGAAGGAGCAATGTCCGGAGAATACGGCGAGTGCGATAAAACATCCCATTTGAGCGTTTCCAAATATTTTTTTACAACTTTAGCGACATGAGGCCGAGCATTGTCATAAAGAAAAATAACTTTATCATGTCTTTGCTCGTATTCCGGCCGTTTTTCTCGCAATGCACGGCTCAAACGAATCAATTGTAGCCGATATCGATAATGAAATCGCCAGGTTTCAGCAACTCATAATAAACAACACTCTTTTGGTCCCACCAGATATAAAGCATGATCTTCAAACCATGAATGTTCGGCTTTGATGTTGATGTTGAGGTCGATGGCAACGATTGACCGAGCTTAGCGTAGTATTTTTTCTTCTTGGGGTTGTCGTAGAATATCCACTTCTCATCTCCAGTCACAATCCGATGCAAAAAACCTTTTCTTTGTTGTCTTTGAATCAGCTGTTCGCAAGTAAAAAATCGCCTTCAACGTCTCTCGGTTTCAGTTCATAAGGCATCCAATTTCCTTGTTTTTCAATTATTCCCATGGCTCTCAATCGTGCAGAAACGGCTTGTTGAATTACTCCCAATGATTCTGCAAGCTCCTCTTGCGTTTGACTCTAATCTTCTTCGAGTAATGCCTCTAATTCTTTGTCTTCGAATTTTTTTAGCTGTCCAGAGCAAGGCTTGTCTTCAACGCTGAAATCTCCATCCTTGAAACGTCGAAACCATTCCCTACATGATTTATCAGTTGGAGCAGTATCACATAAACTTCGACAAGCATTCGATAGGCTTCAGCTACACTTTTCTTCCAATTAAAGCAAAAAATTAGAACCTCCCAAATGCTGCTTGGTTAATACAAAATTCGACATTTCAAACACAGTAAAAATCAAGGTTTTTGTATGAAACTCAAAGCGATATAAACTAAATATTATTAGCAGATGTCTAACCTCTCTGAAAACGCCAAAATCAGTTGTCACTATGAACCATTCACAACAGCCGGAGCCAGCTTTTGGAAAATTAACCGAACTAATTTGTACTCCCAATAATATAAATATTGTTATTTATAATATAGATATCATAATTTTGATAATTAATATGTTGGTACATATGTATGTCCTAAGGCGAGAGTAGGGAGAATTTCCATTCTTGCCTTAAAATGTACACATGTACGTTCAGAGCTCATATATAAATCACGCGCATAATGCATAGCGAACAAGCATTTAGACAAGGACAGACAGACGTTGCAAACACTTTTGATCACTTATGGCTCTTCCAGTATATGTATGTTCTAAAGCCCATGGCATATACAAAAACCGAAAAACATAATCAATAAACAAATCGCCCAATCACGGTAGAGACCGTAAGGCCAGTAGCTAATCCAATCTTACGATTTCTTTACTGATCTTACGGTTTTATGTTTTTGTATGTGCCATGGGCTTAAGGATCTGAGCACAAGAATTGTCGTAACATTTACTTAGATTGTAGACTTAAATTGTAGACGTAAATAACGCACAAGCTTTCACGTATGATGTACAACTTATTGCCGTCTCTAAGAGACGGCAATAAATCATACGTCATACACTAAATCTTGTGCGTTACGTCTTAAGTCTCTAAAGTGTTACGACAATTCTTGTGCTCATATCCTAAGATCGGAACACGCCTAGAGTTTACAATCAGATTAACCTAAAGTCACTAGATTGACAAAATATCGTAATGGTATCCAATTTTTTAAGTATTTTATGTCATATTGAAAAGTAAATGTTTTTTTTAAATAAAATTTTCAAAATTCCTTATTAAAATAATAAAGAATTTTCGAAAACCTGAGCTCTTACAATAATAAAATTATTAAAATAATTTTTTAATTAAGGGAAAAATTAAGGAAAATTTTAAGATAGAGAAAAGGAAAAAGGAAAATTTATTCAGAATTTTCGTTTTCTATCTCGTCCTCTCTCTCATTCTCTCTGTTGTCTTCACTTTCATCTTTTCTGTCGTTCATTAATTTTCTATTTTTGCGCGTGGTCGCGTTCTGCTCCTATATCTTTCTTTCGCCGTACGGAGAGCTTCTTTCATTCCATTTTGGAATTCGGAGCGATTTGGCTTATTGAAATGGCGATTTCTGCATATGCCTTCTGAAAGAGAAAGACAAGATTGTTAAAATATAATGATAATGTTACCAAAAATTAAGTTCAAATAGAAAATAGAAAGAGATTTTATCATAAATTGCTTGTATAATTCGAGTATTATACAACGGTATAACGGTATCGCTGTTCTTCATTATTCTTATTGCGTCCCCATCAAGTGAAATTTTTTAATATCGAATTGTCTTTCTTTAAAACACAAGTTTATCGTTTCCTTTAAAATAAATCCGCCGTAGGCAAAATAGTGTTATCTAAACAAAAAATGAGTATTTATTATTAGGATGCTTATAAATCGTACGATATATTTTTTAAGTCTGTTGGCTACAGGATAGACAGATCCGAGAACATTTCTTTTTTACCTAATAAACAGGCTTGAAAATTTTATGTTACGATAAAACAGACAAATGTAAATTAACTAAAAAATACATTTTCATTTGTCGTACAACATATTTTTTAAGTGTATTGATTGACTGCAGGATAGAAAAATGATCAGCTCTTTGGAATTTATTCATCCTGCAGCCACTTATACACTTGAAAATTTTGTCATGGGGCAAGTAAAAACGTATTCTAATGCCTATGCACTTCTAATGTACTACGCGCTTAAAACAACGTTTCAACTTTTTTGCTTTTTTAATTTTTTCTGTTACATTTATTTAGAATATTTTTTCAAATTGGTTTTTGAAATCCAAATTTCTGTGCTGATCTTGTTTCTAATACATTGTCAGACTTATTATCAGATTATGTTGCTGTGATATTTCTTCAATTTACTTTTTTGATAATTTATCAGAATTATTAATGAAGCAAATGTCTTTTCCCTCTAACAATCGCGTGAGTAGTATTACGCGCTTAAAATGTTTCAACTTTTTGCTTTTTTAATTTTTTCCTTTGCATTTATTCAGAGCATTTTTTCTAATTGGTTTCTGAAATTCATATTTCTGTTGATCTTGTTTTTAATGTATTGTATCATTCATAATTTTTTCCGTAACCGAAAAATGTGATACAGACAAGTTAGCCAATAATCCCAAAAAACTTCTTATTTTCATAACTGGCTCAAAAACATACACTCCGCATAAAGTTAGTTTTAAGACGAGCAAATTAGCTTTTCTCCCAAACAAGAGAAAGAAATAATCAATAAAAAGAAAAAGAAAAGAATAGCTTATCAAAAGAGAGAACGAGAGAGACAGAATACGTAGCAAGATAATTAATATTTGTATTTAATTTATTTATATTTAATTTATTAATTTAATTTAGATTTATTTTTTCAAAATCTGGAGACACGTAGTGTCTCGGCGCTAAGCCAAACGCAGCGACATTACCGTGCCTCCTTTACAAAAAAAAAATTAATTCATATTAATTATTTTAGGTAATTACATTATTATTATGGAAGAACAAGTACATTATACATGCATTAATTCGTACAAGTTATACTGTATCACATCGAATTGCTATTCCGTCCATTTAATGATGTCATGTACGATGATTTTGATAATGATCAAGATTTTGACAGACATATTATTATAATTAGACATAAATCTTCTCTTGTAAATGAAAATGAGGGGAAAGCATAGAGGAAAGCAATTATTTGCAAGTCATTGATACATAGTTTTGCATCGAATCTTAATGTGCATTATGTTTCCTAAAAGGATATGAAATACATTTGATATAAAATACCTTTGTTTGCAGTTGTGCGGAAGATAAATCATTCATGAGATAGACATTATGAAATCTGTTTATCAAAATTTCTCCATAGTGTCAAAGTAAAAGATATTAAGTCATACATTTCCAGTAATTGAGAATTAAAATTCAGATTTACTTTAATTAATCTATGTCTTAAAGAAAGTTTCGTCAATTCAATATTAAAAAATTTCACTTGGTAGTATTGTATCTATGACTAGTCATATGCACCTTTTATTTCAAGTATTATTGATATTAGAAACTGATATCTGAATGTTTATTTGTCTCAGCATATATAAGTCACTTAGTACATCAAGTATTGTCGCGATACAAATGTCATATTCACGTATAATTACGCACTCACGTAAAATATCTGTGTATTGATATACTTTAGCCGATCCCGACAACGCCTGAGGACTATCGTCCTGAATCGTACCGTGACACCGCCTGAGAGTTGTTACCCTGAGTCACTAGATCGGTGCGGAGACACGCAACGAATGTCTGAGGCCGTCGCCATAATATTGCGTTTAATTCGAGAGAATCTCTAAGACTATGAAGAGAACAGTAGTTCACCATGGCACGGTCAAAACTCGAATGCCAGGAAATCATTCCTTCCCGATTACCACATGTCGTCGTCGAAATCGCCCGAAATCGTCTCCTTTCCGCTGATCCGTGGATAAAAAAAAAGGCCGCATATCGATGTCGCCGAGATGTCGCGTGTATTATCTCCGCGCGGATAAACCGGAAAGAAAGGTGTCGGATCGTGACTCGAGATCAAGAACACCGAAAGTATCTTTGTTTTATGCCTGCTTCTGAACTTATACCGTACTCTTTTGATGTCTTAAGATTCGTCCGCTTAGCGCTTAATTTTGTCGTGCACGACCGTTTGAGCTCATATACGGAACATACTTCCCCCATTGAGAGAGTAATGATCAACTTTGATTGCGCATAAACAATGTTTGTGTGTGTTCGATTTGTACGCATAAATGAGGTTTGTAGTTGTTCGACTTATAATTAAATTAATCTTGTATACTAGTTGTGTGAATGTATCGCTTATGGTTACTCCATTGATAGTGGACAGAGACTCGTCACAGGTCTCGTGATTTCTCTGGATGCTGTCATGATGGAAACTGTTCGTGTATTACTCCATCATTGTCTGGATATAGTTTTATGATTCGACCTAAAATCCATTGTGTGCAGGGTAGACGTTTGTTCTTTATTAATACGGTCTCGATATTAAACTGCGGACCGTTCTTGGTCCACTTGTGACGTACTTAGAGCTCGTTCAGGTATTCTAGGTACCAACGTACTCAGAAATCTTATCTCACCTTAGATATGTGTTACCAGGTGGACAAACGGTTGGCTGGAACACATGTCAGATCACCCTCGGGGAGGACCGTTAGTGGTCTGCCAATTAAGCAATGTGGGGGAATTAATACTAACAGATCGTTAGGATCCGAAGAAAGCGCGGTAATCGGTCTAGAATTCAAAATCCCCTCGACTTCGGTAGTAAATGTGCATAATTCTTCATACGTAAACAATGAATCTCCTATTTCGCGTCGGAAGTAGTGTTTAAAAAGCTTGACGGTAGATTTCCATAATCCACCAAAATGTGGAGCTACTGGCGATATAAATGCCACGTTATACGATGTTCGCTTGTAAACCTATTTGTACGTTCTTTATGAGCTTCAAAATTAAGAAGGACGTATAATTCCTTTAATTGGTTGTTAGCTCCCACGAAGTTGGTACCGTTATCAGAATATATATGCTCTGGTATATAACCCTCTTCTCGCGGTAAAACGTCGTAGTGCAGCTAGAAAGTCGGATGACAAATCGCATACGACTTCCAGGTGTACGGCTTTTATGGATAAACATATTAGGTGTACAAATAAGTTTCCGCTATTTTTCATCAAAAAAATTAAGCATTTATTGTGAAAGAACGATACATAATGTTTTATTGATGTAAGTCAAAATGTAAGTGCAAGTTCTTTTTGCGTTTGGCACGAATCTTCATTCAATAATGCTTCCAATTTCGCGTCTTCATACACTTTCGGCCTTCCGCTACGTTCTTTGTCTTCGACGTCAAATTCACCGTTCTTAAATTTTTGAAAACATTCACGACAACTTCTTTCACTTAAGGCAGCCTCACCATATGCTTCTACAAGCAATCGATGAACCTCAGCTGCAGATTTCTTCAAATTAAAGAAATAAACCAAAAGTTCCCGCAAATGACGCTTATTCGGCTCAAAACTCGGCATTTTCGCACAAAAAAAAATATATGATGCTGATACAAAATCGCTAGTATTTCAAGGTTATGTTGTTGATGTCCAACCTTACGATATAATGTTTTACATCAGACAATTTTAACCATAGCTTGCTAGTGGCGTCTTTTGTCAAACGGCGGAAACTTATTTGTTATCTAATACAAACACGCATATATAAACCTTAACACGCGTCCTGTTACGGAATTTCCGTTCTTTAATGAAAAACGGCCCGCAAAAATCTACGCCGGTATTGATGAAGGGAATCTTGCGCGCTTCGCGCACATGAACCGAAGATAGATTTCATTTTGGATTCGTATTAGCGTTAAATCTAAGACAACGCATTTGCAAACGATTTTCCGCACATGATTCCTGTCGTCGAGAAACCAGAATCTCTGACGTAAAATAGCTAGTATGGTTTGAATACTCGCGTGGTAGTTTGCCTTATGTAATTCACGAATGATATTATCGGTCAAATGATTACGGCTTGGTAGTAGGATCGGGTGTTTCCGAGTAAATGTCAATTTCGAACCTTGAAGACGACCTCCGACCCTTATTAAGCTGTTTTTATCTAAGAATAGATTCGCAATTTTACTTTTATCCGTGTGTTTTCTAGTTTTAAGACTTTCGATTTTCTTGTGAAATTGAGTTGCTTGTAAAATCTTCAAAATCCTTATTTCTTCAATAATTTCTTCCGCACATAATGTTCCGCTATATATGTTAGCGGGACAGAATCGAAGGCAATATGCGATGATTCTACATAATTTGTCATAGGAAGAATATTTATTTAAAATTTCGAGGTTATCCGATACTGTCATCAAGCACGTATTCTTTTTTAGTTCGGGGATTTCGCATATCTGTACGATCACGTTGAGCCAATCATTCTCATCTTTGATTAGCCAGGATGGGCCTATAAACCATGTCGAATCTCTATAACCCGATTTGCTACGTTTTAAGACGCTGCGGCTCAGTTTTAACCAGTGTAGCACTATGGTTGAGTCACACCAGAAGATCATCTTGCTAGGAATTAGATTTAGTGGTAACCTCGTGATGTAACTGTGCTAGCAAAAGTGCTCCACAAAGCTCGAGTCGTGGTACAGTCACAGTCTTTAATAGCACAACTCGCGATTTAGCGCATAATAAATTGGACATTACGTTACCTTGATTCCTCTTCGAGGGTACGTAAATGCACGCGCTGTAACCTATATTGCTAGCATCGCAAAATCCATGTAACTGTATACCGCAATGATTTGTTATCAGTAATTTACGACGAAAAGAAACTCGATCACCTTCCACTGTCGTGTAAATTCAGCCATTCGTCGTATATATTTTGCGGAACGGATTCATCCCATCGAACTCCGGATCGTATATCTTGCATCAATTTTTTGGCGAATAGAATGACCGGACCTAATAAGCCTATTGAATCGAAAATTTTTGCAATTTCCGATAAGATATTTCGCTTTGTTACTCGTTCTGAACATTTAATCGAACTAGTGGAGTAGCATATTTCGTTGTTCCACGTAACACCTAAAGTTTTCAAAGCTCGATCCGTATTTAACGTAAAGCTGGCGTGTAGCGCGTTGTTTTCTAAATCGTTAATAATGCGTTCATCATTAGATGCCCACTGTCTAATGACGAAACCACCTTGCGATAGTAATTCGATCACTTCGTCTCGAATCATCTTAGCCTCATGAATCGTATCGGCACCAGTTAGCAGATCGTCTACGTAAAGATGAGATTTAAGGATCTCCGTGGCTCTGGGATAAGCGTAGTCTTCGGCTAGTTTCTGAATAACGCGGATCGCCAAAAACATTGAAGAAGAGACACCGAATGTAAGAACGTTAAGTTGAAGCGTCTCGATCACGTCATGTCTACGCCAAAGAATCCTCTGATAACGTCGATTGCTTTCATGCAAAAATATTTAGCAAAACATTTTTTCGATATCCGCGGAAATTACGTAGTTATAGGTATGAAATCGAATTAAGTGTGAAAATAGTTTATCTTGTATCATCGGGTCCTCTATTAGCATATCATTTAAGGACACACCAGTGTTGGTTTTTGCCGACGCATCGAAGACTACTCAGATCTTGGTGGTCTCACTTGTTTCTTTCATAACCGCGTGGTGTGACATATAGTAACCATCGACGTCAGGATCTTTGACTACTGACATGTACCTTAATTCTAAATATTCTTCGACTATTTTCGCATATTCATTTTTTAGAATCGTATTCGTGCTGAGTTTACGCTCTAATGACAAAAATATTTTAACGCTATCGCCCGCGAGTCGCCAAGATGTTTATTTATTACGTAAAACGGCAGCTGGACTACATAGCGCCCGTCGTCGCGACGAGAAATCGTTCTAATAAAATGTGATTCACATTCGAGTTCTTTTTCCGATTTCGTCGTATTTCTCGTAACTTCCTCTATTGTCCAGAATTTTGTTAGTGATCCTCTAAATTTGCCACGCAACATGTATTTTTTGATAATGGTTGTGGTAGTATTCCACCGGCAATCACCCAATCTAAGCGCGTCCCTTGGAGATGCAAGTCACACCTTTCGCGAGATAAATCAATTTGACCACCGGACAGTAAAGATAACATCGCACCCGAGCCTATTAATAAATTGACGAGTCGCGGTAGATAGAATTCAGAATCTGCTAATTTGATATTCGACGGCAAGTCTAATGAGTCTCGTAGGAAGATTTCTGATGGCATTAGATCTGTGATAGTCGGTATTGTCAGAGTTTTGTGGAAGTCATTGTACATCGACTGTATGGTGATTCGCACTATACTCTTCGATACAGTATTGACGATGTTTATCGCGCTAATCGTTGATGGTTTTTTTATTACTCGCACATTTAACCGCTCCACGGTGGCTTCCAAAATAAAATTTGTAGTTACACACGTGTCTAAGAGCGCTCGACATTTAATGCTATTGTGATTATTGCGTTTGGAATCACGGATATATATTAATGCGCTCGTTAAAAGTTGTGGAACAAAGCACAGTACGAGACTCGTTGCGCTGCGATCGGGTGATTTTAATAGTCATTTAGATTGAGCATTTGTTAAATTAGAAAGGTCTGATTTATTCGCGTTGATTGTCGTTATGTAAAAGAATGTTATGACGTTTCTGACATACCATACAATTCGAAAATTTACGCGGCGTCCCAAGATGAGAACGTAAGCAGTTATAACATAATTTCGCCTTCCGCACCATTTCAATATGCTCTGTTACAGATAATTGTTTGAACGCATTACACGTATAAAGTGGATGTTATTTACCTTATACACAATACAATTACGCGATGCCTTTTCTACAAAGGCTCGAATCTCTTCTTCTTGATCGGGGGTTCGTATTTGTTCTTATTAAATTCTATCAATTTCGGTCGTCCATCTCGACGCGCATACCGCTGTTTTGTATAGAAATTCATACAAGAGTTTGGGAAAAGTATCTCTCTTAAGTGACTGGTCATAGATACGGAACAGGTGGAAATAATAACGAATAGCAACCATTGTATAATACTTGTATTATACAAACAATTTATGGTACACCTTTCTATTTTCTATTTGAACTTAATTTTTGGTAACGTTATCATTATATTTCAACAATCTTGTCTTTCTCTTTCAGAAGGCGCATGCAGAAATCGTTATTTGATAAACCAAGTCGCTCAGACTTTCAATGCAATATGAAAGAGATTAAATATGTATTTTTTTTTAAACAGGAAAAGATACGGACAGTAGGAATTAAGCGCAAAAGATATCGCGCAAATAATACGAGGGCAAGTTTTTAGAAAAACATAATAAAACACATTTTTTTTAATCGATTTATTTCTATTTCTCAACATAGTCTCCTTTCAGCTCGATACACTTTCACTCGTCGATCAGTCAAAACAATATCGTGGACTTTATCAATGATTTCTAGCGTAGCAACCTCAATTGGACGTTCGGAACAAGTTGCATCACATGTGGATGTACGACCACGTTTAAATTTATTCACCCAATTATATACAGTCGCAAACGTGCAGATGTGCTATGAACATTATCCAACTCGGCTTCGATTTCTTTCGGCGTTAAATCTTTCATATGTAGATGTTTGATCATTGTACGAAATTCGTTTTTTTCCATTTTGCAAAAAATAGGTTGTTCACTTTAATCGTCTACAGAAATGAAATCACGCGATGAATTCCGCTCAAAATTTTACAGTAATCAGCTGAAAGATGCTACTTGTCAAAAATGTGACATGACACTGCGAGTGCCTTCTGACAGATTTTCTAAGAAATTATTGACTTGCTCCCGTATATCTATGAAGTGAAACTTCTTTGTTCACTAAAACGCGCTTATATGTTTCGGCTCACTTTTGAATCCTCCTCAGGGCAATACAAACTAACATAAATAATACAATGTCATGACTTATTTCGAGCTATAATTAAATTAACTTTAAATTAATATAATTAATAGACATTTCTTACGTCTTACAAAGTCTTCTTCAGTGTCACAACGCAGAACACACAATCTTACATTAACGAATAAAGAATAACGGATACAAAATTTAAAAACTCTCAATGGTGAAGTATCAAAATATAAAAAAATAAAAGAATATAAAAAAATATATAAAAAAGTCCGAACGTCAATAAGTATCCCGCCAGATGACAAAAAGCTAAGAACATTTGGATACTTCAGTCACCAGATCAATTATAGATCAATTATGTTCATCAATAAAATAGATTTGCCAAATTCCTCGGTTGAGATCGAGAATCCAGTTTGTCACAGACTTGTATCAAACGATTTGAGAATTCTTTAATTACGAGTATTTTATGATATTCTGTAGAACAAATAGATTTAAGATAATATATTATTAGTGTGAACAAGAGGTACAGAATCAAGTAATAACTTACGGTAATTTATATAAAATACTGTAATCTAAATTCTCCATCAAAGATCCGGTTAAGTACAGTAAAGACTGTTGCTCGTTTGAAAATTAACTAATGTAAAGTGTAAGTCAAATAAAAGTAAGTCAATAAAATCGAATGTAAAAACAAGTCTGTTCAAAACTGTGACCAGTTTTGTTCTCGTATATCATCAGGTATGTTAAAATAAGAGTTAATAACTCAGTATCTTTCATTAAATTTAAACTATTTTTTTGTTCTTTAAAGTGTATCATTTCAGAAATATTTCTTTTACGATTCTTTTCAAAATCAAGAATATTAACTTTCTCCCAATCAAAGTCGTGAATAGTTTCAGTGATATGTTTCAAGATTACTGAGTGCTTGGACTAGTCCAATTTCATATTATTGTGATGTACTTTAATTCTTGTCTGCAATTGTCTCTTCGTTTAGTCAACATATGATGCATCGCAGTTATTATAATTTACTTTATATATGACATTATTATTTTTATCATGTTGATTTTTGTCCTTATGAACTTTAATAAATTTATTAAGCTTGTTTAAGCACCTATAGCCAATCATGTTTTTAAATTTATTAATAGACTTAGTAATTTTATTAGAAATAGATCTTACAATATATAATATATAGGAAAATTCTCTCTCAAAAATTCTCTCAAAATCTCTTTCAAAACTCCATCAGTGTCAACGTTATCTGAGATGGTGTTATTAACCGTGGATGTTTTACAAGCCAGACTTTTTATTCTTTTGTTAATATAATAAAAAATCATTCCTAGAGGATAACTATTATCTTTCAAATTTTCTATTAAATTATATATTCTTATTATAGAATGTAGAATTTGACAATAAAATCGCTTTATCAACTAAGCTATATATAGTCCTAATTTTATGACATGTGGGATGATTCAAATAGAACGATAAATATTTATCCAAGAACGTACAGTACCAATCTAAAATAATGATATTATCTTTATTGATGATTGATAAATTCAAAAAATTCAACGGTTTTCTTCATATTCAATAGTGAATTTAAGTCTATCATGCTGATCATTGAATGAATTTAAAATTTGAGTGACCTTATCTTTAGGTGCAATCATAAAGACATCATCAATATATCTAAAATATTCAGAAACTCGAAATTGTAAAGAATTTAACACTTTCTCTTCTAAATTCTCCATGACAACATCAGAAATCATATGGGAAAGGGGGGAATTCATAAGTGTGCCAAAAGTTTGTTTATAAATAATCCCATTAAAAAATAAAATATGTCGATATTAATACAAATTTGACCGCATTAATGAATTCACTTTTTGGAATGTTTGTGGCACCCTTAATGGAGTCCCACTAATCCATTCAGCGCAACATCCAATGGGACATTAATGAACAGAGAAATAACATTTAATGAAACCATTATCTCCATTTTGCTAATCGTCATTCCAGTTAATTTATTTGTGAAATTCAAAACTATTTTTTATTCTACTTTTTGCAGGAGGGATACTCTCAGAGATAATATCTTGTAAATAACCAGCTAACGAATATAAAGCTGTATTGATTGAAGAAACAATTCTAAAGGGAACATCCTTCTTGTGTATATTTGGTATGGTTTCGGCAATATGGAATCACTTGACCGAAGACTCCATAATTCCTTATCTGAAATAAATCCCTACTGATGTCATTTTTTTAACATACTATTCAGATTTCTTTCAATCACCATTGCCGGATTTCTTTTGACTACCAAATATGTATCAGAATCTTAAGTAATTCAAAAACCTTGTTGTAAAAAGTCATATCCATGGCACGGTTACGTTGCCCTTGTAAAAAGTATGAGTTTGTTATTTTTATATCATTGTGTCATTAACTTAACCATCTCATTAATTTTCCTATCTTGATTATTCAAGTGTGGATTGTTATCCTCTAGGAATGATTTTTTATTATATTAATAAAAAATCTGGTTTGTAAAACATCCATGATAGTTAATAACATCTCAGATAACATTGACACTGATGGAGTTTTGAGAGAGATTATGGTTTTTCCATATATAAGAATTGTTCTAATAAAATTACTAAATCTATTAATAAATCTAAAAACATGATTGGCTATAGGTGCCTAAATAAGCTTAATAAATTTATTAAAGTTTATAAGAAGAAAAATCAACATGATAAAAATAATAATGTCATATATAAAGTAATAACTGTGTAATAACTGCGATGTATATTGGCCAAACGAAGAGACAATTGCAGACAAGAATTAAAGAACATCGCAATAATATACCATAAAATTGGACCAGTCCAAGCACTCAGTAATCTCGAAACATATCACGAAACTAATCACGACTTTGATTGGGAGAAAGTTAATATTCTTGATTTTGAAAAGAATCGTAAAAGAAATATTTCTGAAATGATACACTTTAAAGAACAAAAAAATAGTTTAAATTTAATGAAAGATACTGAGTTATTAACTCTTATTTTAACATACCTGATGATATACGAGAACAAAACTGGTCACAGTTTTGAACAGACTTGTTTTTACATTCGATTTTATTGACTTACTTTTATTTGACTTACACTTTACATTAGTTAATTTTCAAACGAGCAACAGTCTTTACTGTACTTAACCGGATCTTTGATGGAGAATTTAGATTACAGTATTTTATATAAATTACCGTAAGTTATTACTTGATTCTGTACCTCTTGTTCACACTAATAATATATTATCTTAAATCTATTTGTTCTACAGAATATCATAAAATACTCGTAATTAAAGAATTCTCAAATCGTTTGATACAAGTCTGTGACAAACTGGATTCTCGATCTCAACCGAGGAATTTTATTTTATCGGCAAATTTATTTTATCGATGAACATA